CGTCTAAATTCACATATTCTTCATGCCTTAAATTTGCATGTTTTCTCATAAATTTATGTTTATTCTTGTAAATTTGCTACATATTTTTTCTAAATTCGCATGCTTATAATCTCAACAATTTGCATGTGTTACTCATAAATTGACATTTTTGTAAATTTTACAAAAATTCATTTTTGTAAATTTGTTACATTTTTTTCTAAATTCGCGTCCTTATAATCTCGTAAATTTGCATGTTTTTTTTTGTAAATTTGCCTATTTATTCTTGTACATTAGCTACTTGTTTCCTTCTAAATGCGAATATTTATGATTTCATAAATTTGGGTATTTATTGTAGTAAATATGCCACTTCAAACAAAAAAAAATAGTCTTTGAATGGCCCAACGGCTCTGCATAAGTTTGATCAATGATTCTGTTTCTGTTTTCTTTGGTTAACAGCTTTCTGGTGTAATACTGCCACCAACTGGTAAGGAGTGTAAATTTGTGATTTCTTATTTATACATTTTTAATTTGTACTTAAAACTTATTATTTGTGTTTTTACTAAGTTTAACTTTTTAAATTGCATTCATAACTTTTAAAGTTTAATTTTCAAATATAAAATGTCTAAATGCACGTTTTACATTTATGAATTTAAACATGCATTTTTTTTAAATTGACAATCATCTTATCGCATAAGGATGTGACTGTTCCTAGAAATGTTCAATCAATCCAGCTTAAAAAGCAGAGGCCAGTTGGTTTCTTATTAAACTGTTGAACAATGGATTCTATAATCTATGACAAAGTCACATTCATACAAAGGAAAGTAAGAAAACAAGAGAACAACTATAACCTCCTTTAGCGGAGCAGAAGAAAGGACTAAAAGATGACAAGAAAGCAGGATGAAGCTGTTCAGTCTTCCATAAAAAGAGCGGTACAGGTCGCATACGGACATAAAGGTCCAGTTTTAGTCACTTTTGTCTGTTTTGTAGCAAAAGTCCAAAAACCCAATCTGAAGATAGTAGCTAGCGTTGGATGGGAGCCTGTAGCGGATCTCACCTATAGACGAAGTTGGCGACAGTCAGCGTCATGGTGAGGATGAAGAACACCACGATAGAGATCATCTGATGGATGGTGATGGTTTCTATGGGAGACACAGATTCTAAACGGTTCTAGAAGTTTCCTCTGATCCCTGAACTCACTGTTATAATGCTGACCCAAAAGAGTCCATAGAACCTAGAACATGACATGAAGTCAGAACCTTCGCAGCCTTTGGCCGTTTCTCAATATGTGTACTTGTGTTTTTCTCATGCGCTCGTGAAACGTCATCATCCTCAGCCCTAGTGCTGTTCCAATTCACAAGAACAAGAAGACAGAGAACGGACAAAGCCCCTGGATGTTGTTCTGGCCCCTCCCTTTTTACCCAGCATGCATCAGAGCAGACTTGTCCGTTCTCCAGATTGACAGCTGTCCCAGCATGCACTGCGGCAGCAGCAAGCTTCCAGGTTAGTGCTCACGGAGCTCAGAGTGTTAAGTTAAAAGTTCTCTTTTCTGTTGCTATTGTTCTATAAAAGTACTTTTTAAGATCATTTGAGGCGAGAACATTTTACTTTAAGCTTCACTATATGTTCCATTTTACTGATTTAAGGCGTAAATTAATAAAAAGTTCCGATGTTAAGAGGACTGCGGCAACCAGCAGACCTCCGAGGCTAACTGCAGCCAGGGCTAACGTTAACCCGCCAGCAGTAACCAGGGCTAATGTTAGCCTGCCAGCAGTAACCAGGGCTAACGTTAACCCGCCAGCAGTAACCAGGGCTAATGTTAGCCTGCCAGCAGTAACCAGGGCTAACGTTAGCCTGCCAGCAGTAACCAGGGCTAACGTTAGCCTGCCAGCAGTAACCAGGGCTAACG